AAAAGGTTGTCGTAGTGACTTTCATTAAATAAACGAAGTTGTTACTCTAATATATTGCTTATTCGAGATTCGAAGTGGGGACCATATAAATATTTTAAAATAACGGGGAATGGGCAATAACATATACAGCAGTTGGCCCTTGTCTTGGCTCAGTTTCTTTGGCTCTTGATGGCAGCAGCAGACGGTGAAATGCAGCCAATGGTCGTGAAAGGAGCCTCAGGGAAGGTACACCAGATGTCAGGACGTGATAGATGACCTCAGTCGTTACAATAACCATCTCCAGAGAGGCAAGAGAGGAAAATAAAGAACACAAAGACAACCGAAGTAACACATTTTCAACATCTATCAACATTATAAACCCTGTTCTTGAAACACAACGTTTAGTTTAACCCCACAGCGTTTATGCTATAGTAATTTTCTAACATTAAAAATGACCTTACCCTAAAATTGTTGTGTGGTCGTTAAAATGCAGCTGAGGATGGGTCTGGGAATAAAAAAACGAGTGTGTGTGTGTGCCCAAGATGTAATAGTTCTCTCGTGGCTGCGTCAGCAGAGCGAAAAGTAATTAGCCTCTCCGGTGAATTATAAACTTACACTATCCGTATCACAGCCCCAACCTACCAGTTACGTTTTACTTCTAAGAAGGGAAATATGACGTCACAATGTCGGGACATTACAATCAAAAGATTTGAAAAAAAATTAGGAGTTACCATTTTCAACCTGTAACCTTACTACACAGCGGTTAGAACGCTGGCCTTGTAATCCTGGGGTCTTGGGTTCGATTCCCGGCGGTGCCCGCGTGGCCTAGGCAACACGGAGTTTTCCTCATTGGCATCCCAACAATTACTCCATTCACACACAGAAGAAGGCAATGGCAAACCACTTCTGGATCATCTGCCAAGAACGTATATGAACAGGTCCCAGTCCGAGAAAAGGATGCAAGGATCCTGTTCATATGGACCTGTCGTCAGACAGAACACTAAATAAAAAATAAATAACCTTACTACACGTTTAATAAATTTTTAAACTGACGAATTTTCAAGAAATTTGGAATGGACAGGCCACCCTGCAATTTTTTTTTCTAATTTTTCACCATCAGTAATACCAACACAGCGAGCTCGGAATTTCTGAGATCAGGTCGACGCTACGCAACTAATACCGAAAGAGCCCAAAATCCTCAAATGTTGTGTTGTAACAGATATTAAAAGACTATACAGCATTTTTTTTGTTAAGTATGCTGTAAAATAATAATATGACTGGTGATTTAATGCACATTGGACCTAGAGGTTCAGTTTAATGTAAAGATAAGTTAGAAGTATGCTTATAAATTGTTTTTTTCAGTATACAGCTATGAAAATAAAAGAGGTACATAATTTTAAACGTTATTTAATTTTGGACTGCATTATTATATTATATAAGGTTTTACCAACTTCAATTTCACCTTTCCATAAAACTGAAGCATTTGAAGGAAGGCGTCGTTATTTTTTCTAGACCTAAAATGATTCTTTCGTGTGAAAACTCTTTTTCCTGGGACTCGAACCCAGGACAGTTTTTGGGGTGTAGCCTTTGTTCTGTAATAAACCTGGACTTTACTCGAAAAAAAAATTTCTCGACAACTCATAGGAAAACCATCAGTGAGATTAAAATTAATTTTGGTTGCATTTCAACCTATTAAAACGTGTGACAAAAATGTAAATTTAAACAAATTCTAATTAGAATGCCTTATTCTTCGCAATGTAAGTAATTTCTACCAGTCGCCATCAGATGGCAGCAAGTACAGACCCGACACTGTGGTGCCTCTACGAAAGTCCTGTATCGGCTCCGGTGACTCGGTGAATAGTTTCTCTGTCTGTTTAACCTACCGCATGTCGCTTGTAATTCAGGCCATAAGTTGTTCGTCAGAAGTTACATTTGAAACAATTGCCACTTTTTGTCGTCTAGAAACAACAATTTGTACAAATGAATTCTATGAAAAAGCAGAATTCATGTAATAAGCTAAATATGTATATCATTTTTCATTGTTTAACGACGTCGTGTTATGTCGAAAAGGCAGAGGGTGATCATGAAAGGTGAGATTTCAAGAATCAGAAGGCAAGCCATTGTGGCATCCATTTGCTTTGTCGTTGAGATATTCTCGTAGTTGCATTGTCCTGCTTGTGATTTCTTTCTTAGAGACACTGTATCAACTGCACAGGTTTCCGTCATTTAATACTTTTTTTTGTGTGAACTTAGAATAACGTGGAATGAAGTTTTTGGCATGTCTAAGAACTCCTATTTTAAATTTATTATTTATGGACATTTGTACCAAACCCTACAGCGCAGACTTAAACTTCTCAACAAGGCTTCTGGGAATACAATTCCACCTCGTCCAATCTGATTACTTAACACCATAAAGTAACAAAGGTAGAACTATGCCCCTTGAGGTATTTGAACCAGCGATGCCATTGATCCATCGGTCGCAGATTATCAGCGCCTTAAATTGCACGACCTTTGATATCGACTTCGACAAACTTTGAAACAGATTTCTTTCGGTTCTGAGCCAAACTTCGTATCTGCAGTTTGTAATTTTGCCTGTTAATACCGCCGTCCAAAAAAGGACATATGAATTACCTCCCCAACCCCCTTATTTAAGAAACCTGCTGCTAAGTCCTATCATTTTGCATCCGGAGTTAAATCTGAAATAAGCTTAACGTGTCGAGTCATCAGAAATGACAACACTTGTTTTCGGTCCTGTCCGATTGTCTTTTTCCGCCATTAAAGCCACGCCTGCACGTTCTTGACAACTTTGGCCCTGACATCATCTGAGTTGTACCTGAGAGGATGGACAGACAGACAGATTTCGCAATGTCCCTTATTGAAGTGTTGAGTAAGATTGGCCTCGTGGACAATTTCTTTAGCAACAACAATGCAGCGCTAAGAGCCTACATACTTTCATCTCACGCTCAAGGGTAATAATACAATCTTTATATATTTACAAATTCTTCCGTCATTATTTTAAATATTTGCGAAATAAAATCTTATGTATTTGTTTTAGAAGTCTGTCGTATTTTTATATATCATCGTAATAATTAGTCTATATTATTTCTTTCGCCATGTTTTGCCAAAAATGGCAAGAAACGTCCTTAATTCTTCTACTTAAAAACAACAAATTAAAAACATAATATGTATAGTTAATATATTTTCTTATTTTAAGATGTCTGTTCAAGGAATTGAGCCCAGACTACAAGAGAGCCATTTTTATAGTCAAGAGTACTCCATTCCGTATGGCTATAAAAATTTGATAATTCCACATCCCAGCCCCAACCAGAATTCGCGTTATTATTCTTAAAAATCCCTGTAACCTATTAAGAGTACGCGAAGTAGTGATTCTGTGTTTCAGTTACCAAGTCACTTCAGCCTGAAACTGTTAGATGCAGCTCGAGTCACGATTAATATGAAATTTAGCTTCATCCGAAAATCGTGAGGCTATAATTTAACAAATTTGCTTCTTAAATTCTTACGCAAACATTTAACGGGAAAACTGCCATTGTCATCGACGTTATTTGTTAAGCAATTAATCTGGTGTTTGTGTTTGTGAAGTTTTGTTAAATGCATGAAATTAATTTGTTATTCACCTCTGCAGACGATTGGAAATTTTGCTGATTGTAACCGTGGCCTCATTCTGTTGGTTTACCGGTTGACTTAAACAATACGTATCTCATGTTTCATTCTTTTCTGTACAACCAAGATAAACAGAACGGAAGTACTTTCTTGTGATTTATTATAGCGTCCCGCTTCTAATACTTTCAATAAGAATAAATGATTTGCTTCAGTTTGGATCACTTACGTTAGAAACGCGTTCTTAAAAATGTTATACTTTTCATTCACTTAAATTCAGTTTGAAATACAAATATTGTAGCGGGTCACATCCAGTTTAATTTATCAAAACATTAAATGTGTAATTACTGGCATTACGTGAATGCTTAAATAAATGCGAGACCCAGTTCTCTGTGTAGTCGTCACGAACGAATCGTCCTTAATTGCTACACGAGAACCTTCTTTTGTTCAAAAGCGTTCGTAATAGTTTGTGCCACCAACCAGAAAAATTGAATCCGTTCTCCTGTTTCCGCGTACTGAGCGCTCGTCTTCACACGACACCTATCGTTGGGGTCTGGAAGATATGAGGTTCCCATTTTCCTTTCCAGATCACGTGACCTAGGTGTGTTTTATTGCCAGGTTAGCTAAGAGGGAACATTAATCTGTGTTTAACAAATAACGGAAACACATTTGGAAATATTTTAAGGATGTGGAAAGTTTCTTTTTATTTCTTTTCGCAAACGTTTCGACATGAATTTCATTGCAACGTAATGTCTTGCTTTTCTCTCGATGGACCCAGTCGCGCTTCGGAGTTATTACTGCTCGTAATTTCAAAAAAATATATTGTTTTAGGAAATTATAACAGCTATTTAATTTTTGAAACTTATTTCAATTCCATTAAGTATATATTTAATTTCTCTGTGTATATTTTCGTGATTCCTTTGTGACTGTGTCTGATTTACGTATACCTGTGCATAATTAAAATATGAGTGAGTTTCTTCTTAGTGGCAACAAAACAAACTCCATAGAGCGGAGCAGATTCCTTGGTGAAGAAGCTCATGTAGTCGATGTAATTCTCCATCTCTTATGAACCTCAAGAGATCATTACCTTGTTCACAAGAGCACGTCGCTAGATCATTTCTTGAGTTTTATTAGCAATATTTCCTATTCGTACGAAGCTGTTGTTCGTTACCACATTTTTATCTTTTATTTAGCACCAGGCCAATAGAATTTTCTGTTATATAGGTTTATTTGCTGTTAAGTTAAGCAAATTAAGGGATTTATACGAACTGCTTTACTGGTTTCATATTTATCTGTTCATTAAGATGTTAAGTCAGATTTCATTTTTAGTCGTAGAAGGACAATTTCGTTTGACATAAATATGTAAATTGAAATATGAATATACACATGTATTTTGGATTGTTTTTAAAAATCATCAAATATCATTTATTTAAAAATTAAACGGTACACGTCATACTCTGTTGCATTCATTTATGTAAAAGTAAATATTCAATAAACAATCAATCTTGTATACAGTAACGCCAATACACAAATGAAATAAGTGTTAAGAAATTCACGCATCTCTTTTGATAAAAGTAAGCAGATGTTACACCGTTGAAACAAACGATATATGAATAATATTGGAGAGATCACAAGTTTCCGAACACCTATTATAAATTCAGCGATACTGAAACATGCTCTGTGTTTACCCATTTGTATGCTGCATATTTACCTACACCTACTATAACTATAAACACAAAATTAAACTTAAAATATAGACATATATTTACTTAAAAATATTAGTTATAAGTTCATAAATAATTTTAAAATGTGTGCATTTTTATGAACATAGTCACATGTTTTGAAGAAGATGAAATGTATGATTGGATTTGAGTACATACAACATCAAACATGAAAATGTTATTTTTCTGAACTTTCTACGGGTTTTAACGGTTAAGTTCGCCTTTTGTAAGCTTCTGTGATTGCTACAGGTATAAATTGCAAACTGATGGATCAAAACATTGTTCTAATAGTCCCAACACACACGTGAGATACGCTGAGACATGAGTTTAACATAGAGAGGAGCCAGGGTTTAGAAAGATTTGCCTTTATGTGTTACACGTCGTAATATTATAACATTAAAGGAAACACAAAGTAACCTAATTTTCAAAATGAGATTGCATTTCCATGCAATCTGACCAATAGACTGCAATTATGTATGCGTGTTCACAGTTGTTCATTTGTAATGACTCAATTTTTATATTCTGAATATAGCATATTATCCCAGATGCAATAATTTCAAATAAGACAAAATATACATTTCAGTTCAGTAAAAATTATACGGTTTTTACTATATGATAAAATTTGTTAAGGATACCGAAATTTACGATACATAAAGGACATTAAATGAACTTCATAACCTCAAGGCTGTTTTTTTTAGTTAGGACAAATTTCTTACGATTTCTTAAGGAGCGTGTACTGCATTATTAAGTGCACAGCTGTTCTGCAACACGTGTTAACAACACTGTTGTGTTCCGAAGCGTTTTATTTAGTGTAGTAAGTAACATTTGCACGTGACATGTCTTATACTAAATCTGCCGTGTGTCTTGGTCGTCTTCGGACCTCAGATATCCCTGCTGGCTCTGTACGTAGAATCTTTTGCCTCCTGGAGATGGCATTTGCCTGCCGTCGTCTTTCACCGTCAGCTTGGTGCCTATCTGCAGCGACCAGGGTGCTGGCTGTCGGGGGTTATAATCTCGATATCGTTCGTCTCCTACGACAGGATTCGAAGGTATGACAGTCAGCTGATTGCGGGGCGTATTTCCGGTGCGTCCGTACTGATGGTACCGTGACGGATGTAGCGCTGCGTTAGGTCCATCCGCAGGAGGAGGAGGAGGAGGTCCGCGCCGCTGATCATATGCGTACCTCTCTCCAGTTTGGGGTTGTTGATAAGGTGCGGGAATCCGGTTGTATCTGGACACACCGTCAGGGTCTCTGTATTGCTGGTAGGGAGTTGGTGGCCACGCGTTTTGGGAGGGATGCCTTTCTGCATCGATGATGGAGTAGCTGTTGCCACCGTTTCCGGGTTGACGGTAACGATATGGGGCTTCTCGACCAGACGGTGGCCCTATAGGACTGTCCTCATATCGACTTTCGCGAGGGTACTTGTTATATGACCTGCCATATTCATATCGCTCATCGTATCGTGGTCTCTCACGCCGGTAATCGATATCTGCTGGTCTGCTACGAGTTATTTCGGGAAGGTTTGCGTAGTAGATGATCCTTCTGGGAGGCTCTCCTTCATGCCGATAGTCTACAGGTTCCCGGACGTAATCACTCGAATATCGAGATTGTTCTATCTGCTTGGTGGGGATCTCGTTGTACCTCATATTATGAACGTCGTTCTCATCAACGGTGTGGCTGGTCCTGTGCTGAGGAACGCCTGAGTAATAACTACGAGTTCCTGTCGCTTGTTGCGTTCGTGATGTCACAAACTGAGGTTTCGCGTTATCAAATCTCCTCCACTGTGCAGGGTTCTCATCTACGGCGTCCACTGCTGGCGAAGAAGTATCTCGCTTTTCGCGACGTCTTGCGCCCGCCTCTGATTCGTCAGATGGAAAATTAAACGCTTTGTGACGACGTAGGTTTCCATGTGACTTCCTGTGATCGTGACGGTGCGTATCTCGCCGTAACCTGCTGTTTAGTTGCACGGTGAAAGCGGCGTTGTTCAAGTTACGTCTCCGGGCAGTAAGTGCCTGATGGCTGCCTGACTTTTCTTTGCCCGTCGCCTCACCCAAGTACCGATAAGACGGTTCATCGCTCACAATATTATCGCCGTCATTACTCTCATATTCTCGTGTGTAAAGACGCTCAATGCTTGGTATTAACCTCCGATATTTAAACATCGTGGGTGGGGGGTCTTCAGCAGGCGATGCGTCTCTTTCTGAAGTTCTCGGTGGCAAGAATTCGCCCATGGAGGCAGAAGTCACGAGGCACGGTAACACCGTCAACAAAGTCCAGTGCAGCAGCATGCTGAATGGGAAGACTGGTAGCCCCTGGAACAAATTAAAGTCGAGAATTTTTATTAATCTTCGTCGATTCTACTCCAGTATATGAATAATGTAGCCTCATTGCCTTAAACTTTACAGAGGATTCGCACTTTTCTGCTACTTTACGAGAAACTTTAACGAATCAACAGCGAGGCAAAATGCCTCCATCTTCATCTCTGAAAATGGAGGCATTATGTTCCTCCGAAACGTTTCTGTGAGAGTTTTGATGAGAAAGTGGCTGATTAGTTTTTGTGATCCCTGAGTCTGCATTTGACAGTGGTTGAACTCCATCTGTGGTCTCTGAGTTGACAATTAATGGTTGCTTCCTGATTGTGATTTTTGAGTTATTAGGTAATATTATTTGTGACCCTACGTTAACAGTTATCTTGGTCCGTAATTTATCAGTTAACGCTGGTTTTATTGCTCAGAGATTTTCTGGTGAAAATGCAGCGTTTCTTCAGCGCACGAAAATTTACTGAGAGTAATAGAGAAATTACGAATAATAGGGGATTTCTGAAGTAACCTCTTTTACAAACTAACTGCTATAGAGTGTTTAAACTATTAGTTGGCAGCTTTTCCCAGAATATACGAGCAGTACTGAAGCCAGAATGTCCCCATTGTTCCGCTTATGCGTATTATAATCACCGTGCCAGTTAACGCACGGCTGATAACTCCTAGATTTCTGCAGGGCGTAATTTGTTCAAAAGAGAGTCAGAAAACAACTCGTCACACAGGGCAATTATTCACAACAATTTCCACCTGGGCAGTTTGTTTTCGATCCCACATCTTGGTTATATAAATTACGTTTTAATCAACATGTATTTCTTGACGGAAATAGTCGAACCAGTTACCGGAACTTCACGAAGTTTGATATGAACCTTATGCTACATGAACTAATGAATAAAATTATTTCAAGTTTCTTTAACCCTTTAAAACCCAGTGGGAACTATACATACCACTACTTTAACAGTCAGTAACTTTGCATTTTACATTCATGGTTTTGTATGACTCTCCCTGTTATTTCTCTAAACAGCAAGTAGTTGATCTTTGTAATTGTGAAGGGCTGTGTTTTCTTTGCGGTACGGTCTGAATTCTTAAATATTATTTAGACGACCTTCGGCTTTTAAGGGTTTAAAAATGGTTTTTGCTGAAAATTTATCAAGGCTCCTAATAACAAACTTCACCTTTTGTATTTGCTGAGATCGTTGAAATGGATCTACATTTAAACATTACGGGCAGCGATTGAATTTCACAAAAAAATATTTTAGTTGCAACATCACTGTAAGTGTTAGCTGTTAAACCACAATCTGCGAGCGAGTTGACAGAATGTAGCAGGCAGGCCACTGGCCTCTCGTTCCCAGCCCTGCACAACGTGGCGTTGCGAATCCACGACATAGCAGACTTCACACGAATTTCCGGGGTTTTCACTGAACATCCTGCGATTTCAATGCCATCCTATCGATGGCCATTACGATAGCCCAGAGGTTCCAGCAGACATGCCCTCGCACTCAGTGACACGTTTAAAACAGTTATTCTATGCTTAATACATATTTTCAATGAAACACAACTAAAAAACTCAGAAAAAAATCACCTAGATTCAGTTTAGGTGAACCGTTTCGTGTTACTATCCTACATGATAACATATAATTTTAATAATACTGAGTTTATTTCTATGTTGTGAGGGTTAAAATAATGTTTTGTACGTGTGTCAGACTTGCTCTCTCATGTTAATAGAATAATACGTATTGAGGGTGTTTGAGAATAGGGTGATGAGGACAGTATTTGGATTTATGACGGACAAAGTGTCAGGAAGCTGGAGAATTTTTCACAATGGGAGCTCAGTAATTTGTTCTATCATAATATTATATTTGGATTATTTAATCAAGAAGAATGGTTTAGGCTTGACATGTAGCGATCACTGGGGGAGTTGATAAATGTGTACAAATCTTTTTCATTTTGAAAGGAATAGATCACTCTAGATTTTGTTGTAGGTTGGAGGATAGTATTAACTTAGATCTCAAGGAAATCGGTTTGGATTGATCTGAGGGAGCATACGGATTGGTGATGGGCTCATATGAACACGGTAACGAACCCTTTTGGTTACATAAACGGCGTAGAAATTCCTTACTAATTGAGTATGTAATCATCTTCTCAAGAACTCTTTCGCATGGAGTTAGATGGTTGGACTAAACGGTGTGTTTGTGTTTTATTACTCGTTAACTCCATTCTACGTTATAACTGTTCCTGTAAGCTGTACAATGACCCAACAAATGGAAATTACAATCCACCTCCACATGACATTGTGAAGGTTTTATTCAGCTGTCCAAATCAGTGACCACCAAGGCCGAATTTTAAACTCGTTAAGGGGGAGTTGGAATTCAATGTAAGAAAATCTGATACATGCAGAACCCAGTTTCTTTAGAGGAACTTCGTCGATGTTGGCACGATTAAACTGCAGCACAGTTTAGCCGAAATAAAATGCTCTATAATTTACGTACGAAGAAACACTCGCCAGAAATTTAAAATGATTAAGATCGACTTTGGACTGAATTTGTGCAGAATACTTAATGGGCTACATGACATAGAAAAATTGCAGGATGAACGATTAGGAAAGAGAGAAAAACAATATATAAATAAATAAGAAAAGAACGTAGAACTGTGTACTGCTCAGAAAGAGTACATAGAGGACGTAGATGACATGCATATATATATATATATATATATATATAGTTATTTTGATCGTAAATACATAGAATATGTTCTGTGCAGTATTTATTAAGTGGAAAACATTGGAAGTCCTTGGTAATCCGTTAAAAGCAGTAACTTATATTTCCGATTTCGCCATATCCGAAGTAGAAACTCAGTGTTATTGTCTTCGTCTGACACACGAAAATTACTGAAGCTCGATGAAACTTAGTTAGCTTCAACGATTGAGTACGAATAAATTTAATACACTTTTCATATCACACGGGAATATTTCATGTGATCAGCTTAAACTGACTTATAATGGGTTGAATTCATCTTAAGAGCTCTGAATATTTAATTCTCTGATAATCAGTTGTTAACCAGAGCGCAAGTTGCAGAAATATGAGAAATAGGAGAAGCCGATTTTCGTGATCTTCTTACACACACTTAATGTGAATTAGTGCGTAAACATTAAACGTCTTTTCAGAAAATGATACTGGATGTTCCATAAAAGAATAACCAAGTAGTTGCTTTAACAAGGAATTCTATGGAATTTCTCTTCGTGGACAGGGAGGTCTTCTTAAATTATCCAGCACCTCTGGTGGTCAGCGTAGCATCTCCATGACTATGTACGATCCATAAAAATAATGTATCGACTGGGACTCTGCTGCATATCACAGAGCTCCCTAGTTGCAATCTCGGTGGGAAACGTCAGTTATTCTAACTGAATTATATCGTGGTATTCCTCAGTTTCACCAGGTAAATTCTGAGAGGAGACCTTGACAGAGCGGGCAGCAATTTAACTGACACATTCTTCTCACCTCTTCATTCATAATCGTTTTATTGTTCATCATTATGTGTAGTTGGTAAGAAGTCGTTAAATGCACCAAGATGAAGCATTGCAGAAGAGTCATGCTTTGTCCTAGCTATCAATGAAAGGTCACGCGTTGAACTCAGATTTTAAAAAAATTGAATCAGTTGACCTCAGGTCTCTGAATGCCACTGTCATTTTCTTTCCGCTAGACTACGTAATTGGGCCCGAACCGTTACGAAGCCGGTATTCAGAGCAAGACAATGTGTTCTTTAAGGCACCACACTTCCGCCTGCTCGTACTGACGACCCATGTAGGCCTAGGTAGACTTCATTCAGTCGGAGGAAAAACAGCTTTCTAATTCTAAACTCATAATGTAAAAGAAACCAAAATTAAAATATTCGGTTCCGTTATCAAAGGAAGTTTTTAAGATGGCTGTCTTCTTGGTTGTAGCGCCGTTTAGTCTGGTAGAAGTTTATCAGGGCGATGAGGCCTCGAGGACTTGGAAGTTCAAAAATTCGAATGCAACGAAGCGTTTCTCCCAAACGGCGTGTCGCTTAAAAACTGACATAAAGAACTCCTGTGATGATAATCACAACACCGGGAACAATTACAGATATTACTTCGACTTCGAAAATTACAGGAGTGTCCTGGAAATATATAACGACGTGGGCATCAGTATAATAAATGTCCGCTTTGAAGAGACAACTTCGGGAAAATTATAGAACTTTCCTGCTTCGAAAATTATGAACAGCGGCAATAAAAGAACTTTTCATCATATAAAGATAAATTTAAAATATGGTAATTAGCAATGTCTATTAGTTAATATATCTAAAGTGCAATAGCTTATCACAGCTTTGTATAGGCTACCACAAATTTTATATAAATGTCCGCTTTGAAGAGACAACTTAGGGGCTACCACAAATTTTACATGGGCAAAGTGAGTTTCAGGGAGTCAGTCTGCAGACTTTCTCAAGTTTTTGCCAGCAGCTACTGGAATGTCGAAGGCGACCTTCCTCAGGTCGTTGTCATAATGTTTGACCGTAATGAAGCAATTGCAAGGTGAATGGTTATTTAACGAAAATAGTAACATAGGAAACAAGGCTACATTCGTTCCTTGTATTTCATCTTTTGTTTTGTTTACCAGTACTTCCGGACGAAATCAGTAGCCATAGCAACGGGCGGTTATTGTTCCTGGATCCGTAGCATTCAGATTCGCTTAGCGGATGTTTAGGTGTCGTGTCATCGTGCTGTGTTACCAACACGTCTCATTTTATGTCCAAAATACTATTGCAGCCGCTCTATTCTATAAAAAATCTTTGCTAACATTAATAACCATTCACTGTCTTACAGTCATTCCTAAAGGAAGTCAATGGACGGGCCTACGTAACATATGGACGCCCTAGGAAATTGTTGATAAGATGTTAGGATTCTTGAGGAGGCAAATAAACTGCCTTAGACATTTGTAAAGTCTGTATGATTGAGGAATTTAGAAGAATCTCCTCGATGCCAATCAAACCTGTTGTTGAAATACATTTTGTGGATCTAAAATATATGCTGTTGTTACATAGTCATAAATTGAATTAGTAACCAGAAGTGGGTGTTTCAAGTACAGGAAAGAGATGGTAATTAAAACAGATGACTAAACGAAACGAAAAAAACACCATGGGACAGAGTCCTAACTGGTATTAGCTCAGCTAGTCAAGAAATTCGCCGCCCTTTGAGGAACATGAAGGTTCATTACCATATTTACAAGAGCCCGCCATCGATTTCTGTCCTGAACCAGATAAATCTTGGCCCATCTACGCTTAGTCTACCGAGTGAGCTTCCGAACCAAAATTTTATACGCAACTCTCATCGCCTCGATGCCTCATCCGTCCCATCCTGTTTTAGTTGATCATCCTAGTAACATCTGATGAATACTAGTTATGGAAAGTTGCATTAGAGAGACAGACAACGTATAAACAGCTCAAGTTCAAAGGTTGGAATCCAATTAAACGAAAAGGATGTGTTTCGGTAACTTTCCTGTCAGAATATCACTAAATACGCTATGGAGTAGATATATTTTCAGTCTACAAAGCATTTTTCATTTTAACTTGTAAAAATTAAAATATAATTTTTTAAGTATCGTGTAATACCGTTGTATTCCGTGTCAGTATTTTATTAAATGTCGTCCACTGCAACACATAACAATAAGCTGAATTCATCTTGTTAATTGCTTATTGCCTGGGCCTATTACCGAGCCACCATCAGAAATGTCATTGGGTAATAACTAGTTAAAAAAATTTATTGCGATCAATTTATGAACTTACGTGTTTCGTGTAATATACTTCATATGAATGATATACCTGCACTTGGCTTGGTAATAAACTAAACTTGTTGTAATTGATTTTACATCTTATTCTTGTGTTTTGCATTGGACGTCATCTAACAAACCTTTAATAAACTTAATTTAATACATTGTCGTATTTACCGAGAAATGTCTGGGACATCATAAAAATCGCTTTATTAAAATATAGTTATGTGGGTTTGGAGACAAAGAATCCAATATTTAAATCAGTAGCATAAAAGTGATTTATAAACCAGTTATAAAGCATAACCTTCCCTAGTTAATCTGTCAGTATGAAACCCTAATTCCACTGTTAGTACTACCAGCAAAGGGCACTTACCTCTGAGCGTATTGTTATTGGCTGCTAGCAGGTGCGAGGCTGCAGTAACAGTGAGTCAGTTCACCACCACGCTCGCTGCCTTTCTTCTCTTGTCATCAACCTGAGCGTACCACGTGACCTTAGGTAACCGTAATTCCGGTGTCTGCAGTTGTCTCCTTGTCAAACTCTCCACCCTCCGCAGACAACACCTTGACTACAGTTTCCTTTCGGGAAGTTCTGCGTCAGCGAAGCGCATTTTTTTGTTTCTAAAGCTTTACTTTGTGTATTTGCCCTTGACGCCACTGTATCAACAACCGACGTTATGTATCGTAGGAATGATAATAAACTGTGAACAAGACGTGATTTGCGACGAAACGTAGCGGATTGAGATTTAAGGTTTTCACGACGGAGAAGACGTACTTTGTTATTATGGGCTGGAAAACTGGTCTCGGCTTGTGTTCACCCCCTCCGCTCACTTACGGTATGCCAAACCTCAAGTGAGCAGATCATGTTTATCGAATTATGGCCCTGGCATGGTGGAAACGTCACAAATTAGGTAAATAAAATAATATAACTGCGTAGTATTTTTAGTTAAATTTGGATGGCCACTGGTTAATATTAAAAAATAGTATTCATAATCCACCTACCTTTTTTACAGTCTTTATCCTCTTTTACTCGCAGGTGTCAAGGTACTCATTCATTCATTTAATCTTATTAGACATTCGGTAGGACTCCTTGGACGAGGGATCGTCCTGTCGCAAGGCCTCTACCTGTACACAGGACAGCACAACACAGAAAAACGCGGACAAACATCCATGCCTTGAGTGGGATTCGAACCCACGGTCCCAGTGCCCAAGCGCACAAGGTCTATGCCTCAGACCGCGCAGCCACTGCGACTCCACCTACATGAACAGGAACAGGACGATAACGTGCAAAAAAAGAGGTGGAAACAGATACACCATAAATGTTTCGAGTAACTTTAGGCATAACTTTAAGCCCTGGAATTTAGTAAAGCGGTTTTTGTACCCTAAAAAATAATTTAAAAATTACTATTTCGTGAACTGTCCTGCCCTACCATTGTCAAATATTTGTTAAAAATTCTGTGCTAGTACCAACTACAAATCAAAATTATTGCAGCCCTGGGATTCAAACAACACTTGCAGTATCCCAGTTTATAGCATGAAATAATTATCCAAGCAATGGCTCTCACAAATAAACAAACAGAAAATGCATTTTATTCTTCAAAGAAATATCAGCAAAACATGAATGCAGTAACATATGGTGCAAAGAGTTTAATTAATTTAGAAGAAATAATGAAACAAACACCGCCAAGAGATTTTTATCAGTCAAGCGCAGATCACAAATTTGATATGAGAAACAGTTTATTCTTAAATAATCCATTCATACTTACATATTACAAAAAAACAGGTCTGTTATAAATGCAGTATTTATATAAAATTTATGTTTTGACAGTACACCTACCCAATTTAAATCACATACACACACATAAATTCAATGATTCGTTCACATTCAGACTACATTTTTTATTGTAAGCCACCACGTATTATATTTTAAGATGCGTTCTGCATAAAGCATCACTTTTGATTGAATATAACATAGCAATGCATAAAATAGTCATATTTCATTACGTGCTTCAGCACATTATCAAGAACCTGCAGTCAGATGTTCTACAAGAACATTTACAAGACCAAAATACCATATGCAGTAGACTTAACTAGAAATTACTGGAAACAAAATTTGGTCATCAACTTTAGCACTTTTTATATTTTCCAGCTCATCATATTTACAATTCTATGTTTTATCTATCACCTGAATACAATATTGTCACTGATAAATCAAACACATTTTTGGAATATCTAAATTTAAAAATGTATATTAAATTTTATAACTGTTATAAATTGGTATTTCGATTTCTTTTTATAAAGACAGAGATTTACTATTCATATAGTCCTTGGGAATGGAAGCAGTAGCATGTACATCACAAGCGGAAGCGCCAGATTATCCACCTGATCAGTTTTTGCTTCTAACACTGAAGTTACTGTAACTGCAAACAATGACCGTATGAGCACGACTCCACTGCATGGCATGTGTCCTAAAGAAAATACAAAAACAACTTTAAGATTCAGCTTAGCTGTAAAGTCCACCGAAATTAAAAGAATAATATAAAATGCTTCAGAATTCTTTCCAGTTACCACCCATTTACACAGTTTTTGTAGGCCAGCACCAAATTACTAATTGCTTGAGTTATGTGTAAGTGGCAACATTTTTTTGCAAAAAATACCTTGTGCTACGTCATACAAAACTTCCACTGGATTCAGTAATATGTCGGGTTGCTATGAAGCTTGCAATAGTAACTAAATTACAGAAAGAGGTTACTTGGCTTCAAGAGGTTACAGAGTCCATACAGTTTTTCCTCTAAGAGATAGTTTCTATTATATATTATATCATATACGAAGAGCTTCATGTTCTTGTTTGATATGCATTCTCAAAATTGTACTTTAAAATGCACATACTCAGGGTCTTTCAATTTCATAAACATTTTTATTTTACCAGTACCACTTTAAAATCAGTTTGTTACTTGAAGAAATGAATTGTGTAGGATTTAAGACTTTCACAATGTGAGCATATCAACCCAGAAGACACACGATGAGTTGATGTCACATTTTAATCTAAAGAATGTACCACCTGCCAAAAAGCAGTGGTTATGACTAACAGTAACAACAGTATTTATCAGGTACCATTGCAGTTCATTGCCACATATATCTTTAAATTTCACTGTTGTATATAAAAATACTATTAACATTTTTGAGATTTTACATATTTAGCATTTTAGACATTATATCAAACTGCTTATTAGTGAACAAATTTTAAAACAACATAACCAAATCACCAAATGCTCTAGACTACATGTTACAAGATATTAAATGAAACAGTGTTTAACATAATTTGTTATATTTGCATTCAATTCTTATGTTTTGAACATACATACTGATAAAAAGTTTATAGCATGTGAATTATTTCTGCTCACCTAAATAAACAAGCATCAGGATCAGAATCATTTGGCATATTATGCTGGCAAAAGTTCCTTCTTTGGTCTTCTTTGTTCCTAAAAATGCAAAATTCCTTTTGAAGTATAAAGAAGGTCCAGTATACTGTTTAAAAAAATATATAACTATTTTTGTTTATTACAAGTTAAATAAAAACTGTATCCAGACCTTCAAGAGTAAAGAACAGTTCCTGATTGGTTATTACTGCCCAAATTAATTTGCATCCTAAGTGTCACAAAGACTACTCAGTAGAAATTTTCACAAAACTCTTACATAGATTCAAAAGTTGAAATATGCAATAGATATGGCATGTTTACATGTCTGAAGATATGAATTAAATCTAAGTCTTTTACTGTGTGTATGGGATCTGAGCTGAACATCAAAAGAAATCTGTGTATGTGTAACTCACTATACTGTATCAGTAACAAATAACTTTGTTGAATTAAATCTAAGTCTTTTACTGTGTGCATGGGATCTGAGCTGAACATTAAAAGAAAACTGTGTATGTGTAACTCACTATACTGTTATCAGTAACAAAGAACTTTGTGACATCATTTTATGCATATAAGAATTCAGAAGGTTCAGCACAAACATAAAAAGTATTCCAGATGCTTCATTATGTCGCCAAAAGGTGCAGAATATGAAAACACATACCATATTAAACAGTAATGAGATCACTGCTCTTTCTCAATTCTTACCTTCCCATTTAGTTTTGCCAATCCAAGTACCAAAGACACTGGCAGCAGTATCACCAATCCCAACTGTCAACAGTCCACTCATCAATGGCAATAAATGTTGTCCTGCGTAAATTTCTTCTAAACAAATTGATGGATAAAGCCAAAGCGGCAATGAACAGCCAGCCAATAAGTAAATTGGCGTTAATGCCAATGTACCTGCATCCTTCTCATCTGCATACACTGTGAAACCAGCTTGCAGTACCTCACCCAGGGGAGGCATACGAATAACACGGAGCAGCTGTAACACAGTGTGACGCAGTGAAGCGTCATCAGAATGAGAACTTTCAAGGAAAAGAATTTTAAACTGAAAGTAGCTGAATATGCTGGGAAACAGGGCAACCAAGCAGCTGGTCGAGAATTCATTGTCCTGGGATTCACTGCGCACTACTGAAGGAAAAGAAAGGCTTCTCCTCAACACATAAGTCACGGAAAGCATTCTAAGGGCTGAAAAATAGAAAGTTTACATAACTTGAGGATGAACTGCTCAAATATATTAAAGCTTTCTATGCAGAGTTTGTGGCATCTCACAGGAGACTGGAATGAAGCCACGGATCAGCCATTCACAACTGAAAGTAAGCCGTGGTTGGATGAATAAATTTATTAAAAGGAAGTACATACAAACATGATAACTATGAAGCAAATTTCTATGAATTATTTTATACTCCTGATAGAATATAGTCCACTGCCTCAGCAGTTGATAGTTAATTCAGTTATTCAAGACGATAGTTTAGAACTTCAAATGTCAAGTGCCTCTATATAGCATATGCACAAAGAATGTTTTCGTACCTCTAGAGCAGTTATTAATGCCAAGACCACTCCACTAGCTAGGTAAAGGAAACAGCACTCCCTAATTAAACCTGGAATGAAGACAGCCACAGCCAAGATGTGGAAGTATTTTCTTATCACTGTAGAGGCTTGTTGTTGTCCCTGAATTTGAACATTCACTGCAAGAACTGCCAACCCACTGCATACTACCCAATAAATGACAAGCCATATCTGCATTAACAAAAGCCAGAAGCATTATATATTACAGACATCATTAAAGCTCTCATACTTCAGTTCCTATCACTTGCAAAGGAGTATCTCACAGACCAGCCATTTTAGGCATAGCAGTAAGCAAAAAATTGTCAATGCTGGAATCAAATCCTGGTTTTAAACTTCACAGAAATTATCATTATTAACTTTACTGTCAAGCCCCTTCACAAAGTAAGTTGCAGATGGAAATTACCAGTTTATTCTCTCTTTCAATTTTAAACTAAGAGCTGGATCATTAGAAACTTCTCATAAACAGAGCATTTTCTTTACTTTGCTGTAAGGAATACAGCAACAAAGGAGTTTAAATCCCTCCCCCCCTTCAACAGGGTGAGGGGAATCATTTAAATCCTAAATAAAAAGACAACAAAAATATCATCAAAGTTAGGATTACACCCATATCTTGAGTTTCAAAAGATGCATTGCCAAAGTTATTAAACAGTGCATATAAACTTCTTTAAAATAAAATATAACATTTTCAAGTCTTAGCAGTTTAATAATTTAATTTGGTGGTTTTAATCTCAGAAATACAGTCTTACAGATATGTGCATTATAGCAGTTAGTATACCACACAGGGGAATATGATATGATGTGGTATATTATTATTTTTTCCTTTGAATCAGATTAAATCAAATTCAGATTTATTATTAAGTAGAACAAATGTTTCAGACTCATCTGAATGAAAACTTTCAACTACATTTTAATACAGGCTAAATCTTAGAAATTTAATTCAGTTATTCTTTTAATGCAAGTGACATACCCTTGGCATGTTAGCTACAAGCAGTTGTAAAATCCATAGAACAGGGCTTGCTTGCAGCAGAATATGAAGAAATGGTACCACAAAACCAAATACCATGGCTAGTGTCAAAGCATAAAATGGCATAGGTTTTCTGAAGTTTGGAAACATGTATGCTGCTGCACATATTAGTAACACACCAAATAACCCAACCTGTAATTAACAAGGAGTAATAATTATATCAATACTTGTGTACATGTTTAAAGCAAAGAAGCTAATAAAAACAAATCTGTACATGAATACAATCAGAAATCTCAAAATGTCAAGGTCACCAGTCATAAAGGACTGAAGGGGAAAACAATTATTAAATTTGAAGCTTTCATGATGACTGAATGCAATGGGGTCTTCTGGTGCATAATGGTTTATAAAATAATCAGTCAGACCTTCTCATCTTTCAAGGACATGAGATTAGTAACATCTCTCTGCCTACTCATTATTGAGGGGTGCAGCAACCAACACAAAATTTTCATGTTTTCCTCCTCACCATTCAGTTAGTCACTCCATTAAATGACAACAATTAAGAGTCACTAGATAATAAAATAGTTTTTCCAGTAATGGTACAACATAACATAACAATACAATACAGTACCATACTACAAAATACAACAAGTTCTTAAGGTAATAGGGTGGAAGGGTATGTACTGGAATTATAATATTTGGTCAATAACAGAGACATACAGCATACTCTTGTGATCATGTTTATGAACCTTCAGATTCCATTAAATGTAGGTCATTTCTTGACTAGCGGAGAGGTTATCAGCTTCTAAGAAGGACTCTACCCTGTGCCCTTAAGTTACTTATATAGGGTGAGGAATGAGAATGTGATGGCTTCCTGTAGGCTAGTGACATGAAATTCATCACACCCTCGCACCCCAGCCTGTATAACAATAAATTGGATTTGCATACTAAAATATCATGGATCACAGGTTGGGAAACAGTGGTTTATTTCTCTTACGAAGTGACAAATAGTGAACTTGCACTGCAGTGATGGACCTTTGGGTTCTATACCACAGAGTTAGATGAATCCACAATTCTCACCTGAAGAATAACTGTGGCAGTATCTACACACTGCATTGGCACAGTGTGCAACGTATTAACTAGGTTAATGGCTGTTGTGAACAAAAACAATATCAGTGACTGGGTAAGAACAGAAGCTTCCCCATATGTAAGACACTTTGGAGTAACATCAAGTAGTAATATTACAGCCTCACTGCATGAATATGAAGCAAAGCCACCTGCAATGCTGAACCAAACTCCTGTAAAATATACATATTACTTGTTGGATAAAAACATTAACAACTTTCTCTGGAAGAACATTTCATAATATTTACTTTAAATTTCTAAAAATTATACACTTCTTATATAAAACTAAGAACTTGAGACATTATGGTGATGGTGAAACACAAATGTCAACATAAACAACAAGAAATGCCCTGACACAAAAATATGCCCACATCTGACAAACCAAGATCACTATTGTCACTCTGCTTTACAACAACCACAGATGGGAGTATTTACTTTTATAATTTTCATGTTCAAACAACAATATCAGTAACATACATATATTTGTGGAGCTTACCAATTCCATTATAAAAATATAACAGCATGTAAGTGAAGACTGGAGGGATAGTAAGAACATACTCATACATCTTGCAATTGCATGGTTTTGTAACAAACACCACAGAAGTCCCTAGAAGACCCAGACTAAGTGTAGCTGCTGTTTTATATAGTTCGGTTACATTATGACATGAGTAGGTACTTAAGATTATTGCAGCAGGTAACAGAAAGGACATCCATATTCCTACACTGGCTCCAGGTCTGTAAAATAATTGAAGTGACAAAGTAAGATTTATATCTAGGAGACTAATTGCATCTAGTAATGGAACTCATATGAAGAAGATATTAAAAATAACAGATTTACTAAAATTACTTGAAAATATTGACATTACTTGGGTCTGCAATATATTCCCAAGTCTGTCTCAAGTATAATCCTCAGAAGGCCAAAGTCCACTTGCATTTCTTTACCTCGTAATGATGTGTTCTTCATGTAAGTATGTTTGTACATGTTGACTTAAACTGTATAGTGCTCTCTGCATTAGCTCCGTCATATTACGAATATATATTAGTCCTCTTCCATTCATTAACACATCACATACATCAGTTTTAATTAGTGATGTATCAGCAAACTGTGGCATCCAATCTGGCCACGCGCACATGAAAATATATATTCAATCTATGGATATGTGTATGGTCTGTACATGTAACCATAGCAACCGAAATTAAATTGCAGCATAGATACATAACCTGCATAGCCATCTGTCGAACTCAATTCCAGAGCGATCTATCGTAGCGATGTGTATGTTTTTCACCACCAGGAAAATGCCATTTTTCTGTTCCCTTAATTACAGTACAGTGTGTGGCATGAAGGGAACTGTATGGAATTATTGTTGCACATTGCACTTCTATTTTCGACACATCTTTTTTATAAAATTGTAGGAATAACTTAAAGTGCGGGACACAAAAATAGAACTACAAGACTTGTGACGTTTCAAAAACATCCTGGAAAAACTGTAAAATTTATAATTGTGCGTAGAGTGGTTCTGTTATGTTGGTATTTTCTGTGACGATCTGTTAGTGCGATTTTCTTTGCCGGGTCGTAAACATGATGTGAAGAAACGTGGATATGAATGATGTAATATTTTGTTGTAATGTGAGGTAAACGTGGATGGTGAATTTATATTCTGCAATAATCAGGGCAGCATCTTTTGTAAGGGATGATGTTATCCAGGTTATGTTGTCGCACTAACTGTGCAAAGTGGTTATATTCTTGTGAAGTTAGACGTCTGTCTTATGCTTGTAGTGCCGTAAAGAAAGTTTCTATTAAAAATGAAAGGCACAGATGCATTGGAACTTTTGGTACAATAAAGTCATGCAGATATATTCAAGGTTATGAAAGTCCAAGGTTGGGATACATCACAGTAACGCAGGGGCGATATTTTAGTACTAGCAAATCAGGGAATGATGACGGACCAGGGGAAGATGAGGTGACACAACCCAAACCTGGGCCAGTTCTTGAGAGTTCTGATAGTGAATATACAACACACCATTCTCTTCCCGTAACTGTCGCAGTTCCCGAAGTATGGCCACAGTTACCTCTTATAGCTATCAACAGAAACCCTGTTTTTCCACGTTTTATAAAGCTAATTGAAGTAAGTGAAACATCAAGGAATAAATTAAATAATTTTTTAAAGTTCCTTAAAAAGTCTTGTGTTAACTGCTGTTTTAAATTTATTTTCAGATAACAAATCCAACTTTGATTGACCTTATAAGAAGGAAAGTGAAGTTGAACCAACCATATGTGGGAGTTTTCCTTAAAACAAGTGACGAGTATGTGACATATAATATGTTTCTGTTTATTGTAATGTGTAATGCAGGTTTTCAGATCTGTGTATTTCCTATACTTACTGGTCAGACAGGCAAAAAATTTCCCACCTACATTTCTTAGGTGTTAATGCTTGCTAGTAGGTCTCCTGGGTGTAAGTAAACAGAATCTGCCATCTTAAAGTTGGTGTGCCTACAATAGTAATTATACATGTTCTGCCCATAATTATTTCTCATTTTACTGTTTCAGAAATGAATCTGATGTTGTTAATAACTTGTCAGATATATACACTACTGGAACATTTGCACAAATACATGAGATGCAAGACCTTGGAGATCGCCTTCGTCTTGTTGTAATGGCCCATAGAAGGATTCGAGTCATAGGACAGATAGTAGACGATTCAGAAGCCCCTCCAGGTAAACAATATATTATAGAAAGATGAGAAAGCACAGCATCTAGTCCTCACTTTCCCATATCTCATTTGCTACTTAAGTTGGACTTTGAAAAGAAAGCTGTCAAGCCTGTTTACTGATGTTATCATGAAGGAAGTGAGAAACAGTTTATGAAGTACCGGGTTTCCATTTTATTAGGCTGCGGTCATGCTTGCATTGTGTGGTCGGCTGGCGATCTGTTGACGTCAGCAGGACTAGTGCGTGTTCTTCCGATGAGTCACCGACGAATCAGTTTCATTGCATGATAGAGAGCTTAGTAAAAAAAATTTGTAGTACGGGATCAGTTTTGGATAAAAAGAAGAACAGGAAACGACAATTCATTTCGGCAATATCCCAGAAGAGCTTCATCGAGTATTTATAAATATGTTAACGAGATGTGAAGCTTGCCTGCAAGCACAAGGAAGTCACTTTGAACATCTTTTGTGATTTAAGGTAAGAAAATTAATGTAATAACATGTATCAGCGACGAGAAATATTCGTAGTTCGCTGTTACTAGCGGCACTGAAACTGATTCGCCGGTCACCCACCGGAAGAACGGGCACGACTCTCACCCGCATCAACGGGGCGCCGGCCGATCACGCAATGCAAGAACGACCGCTGCCGCATAAAATGGAAACCCAGTATATACATTCTAATCATTTTGGTCTATTAGATAAAACTAATTTCAGTCCCCCGGGATTACGTTTCATACGTTATGCTTTAAAAATGTGTATTTTTTAAACTAATAGACAAAGGAAAATATCTAAGCATATGCATAAGTTTAAGTATGTTGATGGTGTAATAGCTTCCTGTGTCCTGGAATGTCAGAAGAGTTTTGAAGTTAGAACTATTATAGAACATAGATATATGACAAAACTTCATCACTTACAACTTGGATGTATACTAATATTGATGTTAGTATTGCTATTCAGCTGTGAATGAAAGTAACTTTTTCTGGGTGTAAAATTATTTTTGTTCTTTACTAAGAGACCCATTAAATACTTGTTTCTTTCATATGAATAATTGCTTACTTGAAATTTGAAGGAGGTGGAAATTGAGTTCTGTTGCTTCTTCCAAGCTTAATTATGTTAGTATTAAATGTAATACCAGTACTATGAGATTTCTTAAAGGAAGTTCCTTTCATAACTGCTTTCTGCTGCAGAAATGACTATCAAGTTTCCACTATTTAAAACATCAATTAATGTGTCTCTAGAAGATACAGATGTAGAGAGGAGGAGGCGAAAACGTAGAAAGAAGAAGAATGCTGTGGATTCTTCAACAGTCACTGATGAGGGGGAGAAGTCTGATGCTTCCAGCAATTCTCAGGAAACATTTACTGAAGATATTACCAAACCACAGCCTGTCCTCATGGTGGAAGTTGAAAATGTGACACACGAGAAGTTTAGGCAAACAGAAGAAGTTAAGGTAAAAGTGAAATTACAGTTCTATAAGAAATTGTTTGTTCCATTGCTCATTGTTAAGCATCTTGCTGAAATATTTCACTGTATAAATGTTATATTTTCCACTCCCAGTGGTCACACAGTTTTTGACACATAGTCTTATATAGAGCACTCTGTGAATGCATAAGTTGCAAATTATAATTCCAACTCTGGAACAGATGTTTGTGTGCCTCATACCTCCAGTTTGGGATCTGGGTTAGTTCTACCCAATTCATGCAGATACAAATATTTATGGTTTTACAGTCCATCATCAGAGCTATGATCATTGCCCTGATGATGGAGGCAGCAAGCATTTCAGAAACATCAGTAAACTTCTACCAGACTACACAGTGCAACAACGCAGAGGACAGTCATCTTCTTACTTATCACTGTAAGGACCTGAAATCTGACACAAAATGTATCTTGTTTTAAAAAGTGAATGCAAAAATGATTATCTCTTGTTTGTGCAGGCTCTGACACAAGAAATAATAAAGACAATCCGTGATATTATTAGCTTGAATCCATTATACCGTGAATCATTACAACAAATGTTACACACTGGGCAGCGGGTGGTTGACAATCCAGTCTATTTATCAGACTTGGGTGCTGCTCTCACTGGAGCTGAGCCAGCGGAACTGCAGCAAGTACTTGAGGAGATGGATGTGAGTGAATAATCTTTTTTCTTAAATAAGTAGGGCTTTAGTTAATTCGGTGATGAACCTTCGGGTTCCCAACGCCACCTAGTTAGATTAAATATGTAGTACTTTATCTTTTCTTTTATTAGTTTACTTATGTCTGGTATCATCAGCTGTGCTGCTTACTCTTTATTTTAAAATTAATTTTATGTATTATAGAAATATAAAAGAAAATTCTGTTATTTATTAAACCAGTGATCTCTTTTGGTATCACATGCTTCTTTTATTTATTAGAACATGTACAAACTTTTGGTTTATCCAGTTTGGCTTAGTTTGTTGCTGAAATTCTGATGCCGGATGCATTGAAACAGTTCTTCACATTTTGGTGATAACAGGGGTGGAGGACAACAGTTCTTAGTATTTGACTTATACTTGTAGGATATCTCCATGCTTTGTTGATTGTTTCAAGTACACTCAGTGGCCATCCGGCCGAGGTGTGGGGAGGTGTCTTGCCGTCTCCACCTTTTCCATCATCCATTCTTCTCTCACTCTGATGTTGCTCAGGGTCACAGATATTTTGCATCCAGTATACATAGTACAAGAAATTTTGTGAGAGGATCTTCTGCACTCTCATCAGAGAGTACCTTATCTCTAACATGCACTTAATGCAGTTCTATCAGTGACTGATTAACCATAATAAAATGGTTTCCATTCATCCGCAGGATTCTGTAATAATGATCTTTTAATTCACTTGCTGGTATCTGCGTGCTTCATCACTTTTGTCTGTGGTATTTACGAGTTTACTTGTTTTGTGAATTGTTAATTTATTTTGTTTAATTTAGATTCCTAAAAGGTTAATGCTGTCTTTGTCACTTCTGAAGAAAGAGTTTGAGCTGAGTAAATTGCAGCAAAAGATAGGACGTGAAGTCGAGGAGAAAGTGAAGCAACAGCACAGAAAATACATTCTTCATGAACAGCTAAGAGTGATCAAAAAGGAACTAGGACTTGAAAAGGATGATAAAGATGCTATAGAAGAGAAATTTCGTGAAAGGTTAAAGGTGAGTATTGTTTATAGGTAGCAGTTATCGTGAACTCGGATGAAAATTATTTTAATGGAAAATGAAAGGGTATTGAAAAATTTCAAGGCAGATTTCTTCTTAAACTATTCAACTTATCGGTAGAAAAAACCATTGCCTGATATGTTATGCCTACACAGTGAACTGTTGCAGTTATACATGTTTATGCACTCATACATTTAAAAATAAATTCATCCTTCATATATACTATGCGCCATACCATGAAAATGTTGGAGTTAGTGGAGGCACAGTTCCACTATTCCTTGACCTTGGCACTAGATGGAGGTAAGTGTTCTGCTTCATCCCCTGTTGACTTTTTCTCTTCCCCCCCCCAAGGGAAAGGGTTCCTGATTCCCATTGGATAGCAGGCTGTGTGGGCCCCAAAGCCAGTCCAGATGCAGAAGCTAATATATGGTCATGAAATATGCTGATTTAAATAGACAGATGTTTTTATGAAAAATTAAATGAAAGAAATTTTCTTAAGTAAAATGGATAATACCTGATATTACCTGTTTGTGATGCCAACCTATACATGTACAAATATTGTAATTGTGCAGCCATTTAATTTTTTGTGTATAACAAGTGAACACATACTGAAAAGAGTACATACATGGTAATAATAATAGTGAATGTCCACAGAAATAATATAAAAAATGGTGTTATTATGTATTTTATTTTTCCCACACTGTCTCATTTTTAAGTTTGAAGATGTATAACTTTTGTCGGGTTTTGACAGGGGAAAATTGTTCCAAAAAGTGTGATGGAGGTTCTAGATGAAGAGCTAAACAAGCTCAGTTTCCTTGAAGGGCACTCATCAGAATTCAAGTGAGTTAAATTAATGTTTAAAATAGTAATTCTTTGTTGGGAGTACTGGTAGTTTGTTTGTGTTAAGGACTTATAAATAATAAGGAATAGGAAGAAAGTAGATCCTATCCTGAGCCTCATGAATTAAGTCCACATGCTCACATCCTGTTTCGTCAAGATCCATCAAGTATCAAAACTGCTTAGGTGGTTTTGAGTTGCAGCTGTGACTTGTATGTTTCTAGTGTGACACGCAACTATTTGGACTGGTTGACATCTCTGCCATGGGGTGTAACTAGTGCGGACAACTTGAATTTACAGAGAGCAATTGAGATCTTAGATGAAGACCACTATGGCATGGACGATGTAAAGAAGAGAATATTGGGTCTGTAACAGTTCTGTAATTGTATAATACTTTGAGCAGAAAGCACTAATTTGTTCTTAATCTTATTTTTGATATGTTTTATTCTTGCAGAATTTATTGCTGTAAGCCAACTAAAAGGCAGCACCCAGGGAAAAATTCTGTGTTTTTATGGACCACCTGGAGTTGGGAAAACTAGTATAGCACGTTCTATTGCCCGAGCGCTTAATAGAGAGGTGGGTTAGAAAGGTTAGATGCTATATTGTTGAGGCATGAAAGATGAGCTAAAGTCAATAGGAAATATGTTTGACTTAAGCCCTTCTTACTGAACACCAAAGGTATTTTAACATACAAAATCAGGTGTATTTTGGTTTGCATATGCATATATATGTATGCACACATAAATTAATTACTGGCTGTGTGTTTAGATCCGTGAACTTTAAAGGTAAATATATGCAAAACCATTTTTTTTCTTTAAATGTGAAAGGGTTGTTGTAGTCCAGGCAATCAGGATTTAAGGAACATGTTTCTAATAACATAATAATATAATAATAATAATATTTGTGTAATTTTTAATTCTCCTCCTGTCCTGGGTTTGAGTTCAGGCCTTGGTGTTTATTTTCTGTAATTAATATGTACCAAGTAGCACGTCTTACTATGTTTTTAGAAATTTATGGGGTTGCAAGGTGTTAATTTTCAGAAATATATATTTCCAGTACTTTAGGTTCAGTGTGGGTGGCATGACAGACGTTGCTGAGGTCAAGGGTCATCGTCGGACATATGTGGGTGCGATGCCGGGGAAAGTGATTCAGTGCCTCAAGAAAACCAAGACTGAAAATCCATTAATACTGATAGATGAAGTAGATAAAATTGGAAAGTGAGTATTTTAATGTGTTTGTATCTACTTTAGATGTTGATCGTAAGTTCAGAGAAAATGTGGCTTTTATGCAGGAAAAACCATAGTGTGTTAAAAACATCAAGGTTGATTATTATGTATTGATAACTTTTCAGTTTTGTGCAGAATGTTGTATGTTTTGAATGTCTGTTTTTTTATGAAACTGTTACATTTGACTAGTTAATGGTATTTGGAACAGCTAAACTGTAATAAGTAGATGTTTTTAGAAATCAGGAAATGCAATTGGAGCCTGTTTCGTGTAACCTGCTGTAGAGCAGAGCTCAATGTATTGCTTCATAATTTAGCTGTTGTGTTGACATTTTTAGGTTATCTCATAATCATACATGGGCTCACCTTTTATATATTTCACAGTATGGACCTTGCAGACATTGGTATAGTGATACTACATTGTGTTTTGGATAGATGGATTTTATTGTTTAAGTGCAAAAGTTAAAGGATGAAGTAACATTTATCCAATTACAATGTATTTCTGCATCTTACAGAAGGGGGACTGACAGAGAGGTAGTTTTGTGTGATGAGCAAAGCATGTGCTCTGCTTACTATCCAAAATAACATTTCCCCAGTGTATGCACATTTTGAGTGGAGTAAACTTGCCAACAGAGTGTTTTTTGAGTGTGAATACCTGCTTTGTTTTCCTATCGCATAAACAAAGCTGTAACCATGGAGTCAAAATCACTTGTGTGGACAGCAGATATTAAGCGATCAGGCACAAATAATTATGGTTTATACTAACAGTACTAATAATGTGTTGCTGTGAATGGTGTAGAAGCAGGGAAATAAAAACTGTAAAGTATTGCTGTGTAGTGAACCAGCTATCTAACAACATTATTTTCATTTCCAGAGGCTATCAAGGAGATCCATCATCTGCACTTCTAGAAATGTTGGATCCAGAACAGAATGCAAATTTCTTGGATCATTACCTTGATGTTCCTGTTGACTTGTCAAAGGTTGATATATATTTATTGTAAAATTAATACTGATTTGTGTATGTGTGTTAAATACCGTCATGTTTAACGTTACAATGTGACGAAACTATTAATATGACCCTTTGTATATGTTTTCCATTTGCTTTCAGGTTTTGTTTATCTGCACAGCTAATATAATTGATACCATACCTGAACCCCTCCGTGATCGAATGGAAATGATTGATATGTCAGGTTACGTTGCTGAAGAGAAACTAGCCATTGCCAAGCAGTATTTAGTCCCCCAGGCACTGAAAGATTCAGGACTGGAACATGATCAGGTAACATATTTCTAGTTGAATTGAACTTTGTGATACACAAGTTTTAAGTTATTCTTACTGTTGCTTTTTTATCATCATCCTCCTCCTCTCCATGTTACTTTACATTAGTGTAAGAAAATTACTTTTGCTGCAGGTCCTATATTCATGTCTCATTATTTACAGTATTAGTATTAAATTATGTTTCTTATCTGTACAGGTCCACATCAAGGATGATTCTTTGCATATGCTTATTAAATCTTACTGTCGTGAGAGTGGAGTCAGAAATCTACAGAAGCACATTGAGAAGGTTGGGTTCTTTCACAAAGTTTTATTGTGTATCAGTTCTGTTGATTTAGTTTGAAGATATAAATTTCATTTTTAAATGTTGTGTTTATTATTTTTTTTTTGGATTACAGGTAGTGAGAAAAGTAGCATTTAAAATTGTGAAAAGTGAAGTTGCTAAAATCGATGTGACTACGGAAAACTTACCTGATTTTGTTGGCAAACCTGTGTTTACACATGACAGGATGTATGACGTGACTCCACCAGGTGTTGTGATGGGACTTGCTTGGACAGCGATGGGTATATCTTACATTTCTTTCTTACATTTTGTGCACACAACAATATAGCAGAACTTCATTAATTTAAATTAAGTCATATTTGAAACTTATTCAGAGGAATGGGCTTTTCCCGTGTATTCGTTTGGACACTTCTAAGTTTAAAAGTGAAACATAATTAAAAGCACAGTTTTCTGACAGGCACGTAAAGGCTGTATCATCAGAAAACAATTCAAAGCTGAAGTAAAAGCAACTTGAACTCCTTGTCAATTGATTAAGAATGCTGGAAATCCTACAAGGAGTAATATTAAGACCAGAATAAAACTTAGAGTTTGAGTTAAGCTTTATGTATTAGTACTGAGCAAGAAGAATGGAATTATGCAAGTTCTTTTTATATAGATGCATGTAAACTCATTTTATTTTCTGAAGGATATAAGATTTTATAAGACAGCTGAAAAAGTAAACCACATGATCAAATTGTTCAAGAATTATCATTTATACAGAACTTATTAAGCAAAAGTCTATTTACTTTTAGTAGGATTTAAGGTTCTATCAACAATGTGAATGATGATGGCTGTCTTCTGGGTTGTAGCGCCATGTAGTCTGGTAGAAGTTTACCAAAGTTTCAAAGGCCCTTGCTGCCTTCATCATCAGGGAAATGAGTAAGCCACACATGTGGAATCAGTTTGAGATATAGGAACCAGTCGGGTAAGGCAGAGCCTTGGCTGGACCAGAGGGGAATAGTGTCAGGATCAGGTGAGGGCCTGGGAACCAATAGGAGATGGGGAAGTGCCACAGCCTGGTCAGCAGGACAGGGAAGGACATTGCAAGACAGAGAGGTCAAAGAAAGCAGCCCTTATACAGAAGACAACCATTTTCATTTATTTTTATCCTCTGTTCTCTATTAATTAATTTTTACTTTCCTGCAGTAACAAATTTTATAGTTACAATGCCCGTGTTAGACGGATTTTGTTTTCAACGCACATTTCATTGTTTTGCATTCTGGCATCACGTTTCATAACAAGAGAACACTTTCACAATCAAGATATGCTTCAATGCAAGCCTTGTGTGATATGACAGAATCGACTTCACGTGTGAAGTGGCTCCAGTGTTTTGAACTGTGGGAATTGGCATTTGTATCTCAAGCTTCAGTCACATGTATCCCTAGTATTTGGTATCAGGAAATATGTGAGTTTAATTTTGGTTAACTTGTTTTTTAGAATCAGCAGTTTTCTTCATTGTTTCAGTTGTCACACTGAGTAAAAAAATATTTTCAGGTGGATCAGCACTCTTCATTGAAACAACAATCAGGCGCCCTCATGAAGATACCAGTGAGGGCTCCCTAGAACTAACTGGCCATCTTGGAGACGTAATGAAGGAATCAGTTAGGATAGCACTCACTGTTGCACGTAATTTCTTGACAAAAGAAGATCCAAAGAACAATTTCCTGAACAATAGCCATTTACATCTACATGTCCCAGAGGTAACTATGAGAGTTAAACTGCCATAAACCTTCATTGTCTGTCGATGGTTCTGCTGTGAAGTGGGTCATTCTGGTTGTAGGAGGTACTCTGTTCACAGCGAGTGTTGTGCATGTTGATATGCATGCAATCTATACATAATAGAATCTGTCAGTCATGTCAGCAGTGCTTGTGAACCATAAGGCTACAAAGGGATTAAAGGTGGGTTGTGTTGAATCCTTGGCCAAAGATCTACAACAGGATTGCTGTCACAAAATTGTAATGTCTGTAGCATCATAGTTGCAAGGTCCATTATGATTTTTACTTTTTTGTTCAAGACTTGAAAGGTTTGAAAAACATATAGATAGAGAGTTGAGAATAAACTGCCATATCATGTATAGTTTAAACATTTTCAGACTGTCTGAACTGTTGATTTTTACTTGGACTTCACATTTTTGATGATGTACTTGTGTAACATTTGTTTAATCCTGTAACTTACAGAACCATACTTTTTTAAGTATTAATGTCTGATAAACTTATATATTACTGTTGAACTTGAATAAAGTGATTAGTGGTAACATTCCTTGCAGGTGGAAACATACTACAGTGAAATCCTCATTTAATGTTTCTCAATGTAAGGCTTTCTCTCATTTAAAATTCTGACTATTTCTGTACTCTCAACCCCATTGCATTGGTGTTGTTTCCAATATTTTAGGATTTTTGTGGTTTAATATTCAATTCCAGAGAAACATTAAATACAGATGTCAGTGTATTGAATATGTTTTGAACATTAAAAATTTTGTTTACAGGGAGCAACCCCAAAAGATGGTCCAAGTGCAGGCTGCACTATCGTAACAGCATTTCTGTCTCTAGCAAAGAATGTACCAATACGACAGGATGTAGCTATGACCGGAGAAGTTTCCCTCATGGGAAAGATTCTTCCTGTTGGTGGAATAAAAGAGAAAACAATTGCAGTAAGTTGTCACTGGTTCATATTTTGACAAAAATTATATATTCTGTTAAGTTTGTGTATTGAAAAAAATGTTCAGTGTATTAACAATCATTGTAAAACCTAAAGCAATACACAAGGTGGATAAAAAAAATGTAAATTTGAGATTCCTATAGATCATAAAACCCAATTCTTTTTTCCTTTGGATATATTTGGAAAATGAGACACAGTACCAGTGCCCAAAACGAAGATGAACATTTACAGTGAAGCATTTTGTCTCTTGTCTTTGTTCAGTATGTCATTAATTATTGAATGTAAATTTCTATCTTCATACAGGCTAAACGTGTTGGTGTAAATTGCATAATTTTGCCAGAAGAAAATAAGAAGGATTATAATGATCTTCCATCATTTATAACTGAAGGACTTGAAGTTCATTTTGTGAACCAGTATGAAGATGTTTATGAGATTGTATTTCCCTCTGCTCATGGAAACTAGGAACAAAGATTAAAAATGGTATGTATAAATCAGAAGTCAGTGATGTAAGTAATGAAGCCAGCTGTACTGATTTCATTGTTTCCATACAGTAGGGCACCGCATATACGGCAGGTTAGGGACCAGATCCCCGCCGAAAAGCAGATCTTTGCCTTTTTTCAATTGCAAATGCATATCAAAGCCTAATAAGATGTTTACACTATCATATAGTAAGTGCACAATGGTGCTAGGCCTAAGAAAACGATATGAAAGTAAAATGAATATCAGTAGTAGCTGTAAACAGACTGAATCAGCGACGAGAAAATGGCGCCAGACACACTTCTCTGACTCAGCTGTTGAGCGCGTGGGGCATATGCACGCAATTGAGAAGCGCCGTAGTAGCGGATCACCGAAAAGCGGGGCCCTACTGTATTATGAATGCTGCTTATTTCAAAGATAAAGTTGATTACTAGAATCATCATATGCATAATAAATAACATGTGAAATGGAGTTAAGATATTAAAAACATGTAACGATATACATGTCATGTGAAATCCAAGTTTTACAATTAATTTGCATATAATAATAATAATAATAATAATAATGGTGTTTAATTTTTTGTATCTGATATAAAAACAATAAACTTTTATACTGTAAAGTTGTTAAATGACATCATCATATATTCACATGTTTACTGATAGTGTAAAAAAAGTTTCCTTTAATCTATTACACACTTCATGGACACTGCACTGCTCGTTTCACAAAGCCAGTGTGTAGCTCTTAACATATTCAGCACTATAAACTGAGAGTACTGTTAACCCATGATACAATATTCTGCATTCCATTTTCCAACTCTGGTTCACTGCCATTGTTCAGTATGCTCCAGTCCCAGTCAGTTAATCCATCCAAGTCACATTCAGTTTCTGCATCATCTATTCCTGAAGTTTGAAAGAAAGAAAAACGGAACTAGGGTCACATTTGGTGCAAAGTCGCATCAACCAGTGTTCAGTTAGAATGCCATAACTTCTACCTCCACAAGTATACAGAACAGATCTCAGCATTTGTCTCGTCATTAATGTTGTCACAGAAATTGAGTTACTGAGGCAGTTATTCTATTGTATTTTCTCTTTCCTTCATTGTAGTAGCCAGTTATCTTTTGTAATTTTGCAACCACCGATTAGTATGAGATTCTTAACCCTTTCACTGTGGTACAGCAGGGTTAATGTTAAATGTTAAGCAACCACAGAATGGTAAAGTTCAAAAACTTTTCAACAGCTGCTTAATAACACAGCGCTCGTGTGATTCATCATATCTGAGCTTGCAAAGATACGTAGGGAAGGTACCAAGAGAAATTTGTTGTAGTGTGCATGCTCAGTTGGTATACAGACAGCATGAAAGACATCAGAGCCTGTTCTGTGAATTTTATTTTCAGAACCTGCCACACCCGGGTGCCTGAATATTAAGATAAAGCAAATGTTGAGTTTTGTAAAGGACATGTTCAGAGAAGCCTCTGAGGATGAGGCCACGGGTCACACCCCAGTGTACAAATGGTTTGGGTGTTTCAGGGAGGGCAGATAATGCCTGTAGAACAACCAGTGGAAGGGAAGTTCAAGAGATAGCTCATAATGGGAAGACCATTAACCATAATGATGAGTGAACTTTCATGAATCTTTAGACTACCACATGAAGTATACAAATTAATGGGTACTGTAATAACCTCACTACACTTTTGTTACCTGTTGTAAATACCCAACCTCGTTGTGTACGAACATCATCATCTGCTAAAACACGTACTGTCTTCACAGCATTACCATAATTCTCCTTGAACCACTTCAGATCAGATCGTCTTCGAGTGTCACTCACTATCCATACTGGTTTTTCATGTGCTGTGAATATGTATGTTCAGTATTAGTAAGGATTTGATACTGGACTCCCAGGTGCAACACAAATGTCACTTGGAACAGTGTTATTTATCCTGCCAATAAGAAACAAAATCTGAGCAATTGTGATTAACAGGTATTGCGTGAGGGAAAATTTACACACACATCAAAATGTGTAATTCTGTGTATGAACAAATATAATAAACATGTTAATACAAATTATGTGCAAATTCATTATTCCAGCATGTGGCCAAAATAAACATTATGAATTCGAATACTAATGCCAGGTTCTTTTACTATTATATTATGTGAAAAGTGGTTTTCAATATACATAGGTAAAAACTAAAATGTTTATAATGTTGCTTGAGCATATTCTCTTACCTCAGTGCTTGTTCAGTTTGATTCAAACTACATTTAATCTGTGCTAATTAAAATTATATTGGAACCAACCAACAATTTTAATGAAATTTGAATTTAGCTCTTTTATGAATATAAATTTGTTTCCTTCAGTGTTCTCCTGTAAACAAGCGTACAGAATAAAAATACATACCATTAAACATTTCCACAGCAGCTTGACAGAAGTATCCACAATCCTTTTGTCTGATATCTTCACTCCACTTAATCATATCTTGCCTGTGCTTTTCTTTATATTCACCAGTGCCCATCAATTCTTCAAAATTCAAGTCATGCTTTTCTGCCCAGTGAGTTTTAATGGGAGCTGAAATTTTTATCATAGCAGCATTGTCTTTTCCAAGTCTACAACAAACATTATGTAATCTAATTTTCCATAATTCATTACTTAAAATAATTATAATAGTTGCCATACCTTATGTCATAATCCCAGTTTCAATGTATACTGTGTATGATAGCAGAAAAACATGGGAAGGTATTTTAAAATAGGAAAAGGATTAACGAAGGAGTGATAAGCAAAAGTAAGACTGATATGAATCTCACTAGTCAAGGCTGATAATGTCCTGGGCAACATGTGCAGTGCCTGACTTCAGAAGTTCAGTAAGCATGAAAATTGAATTGTGGCCCATGCACCCTCCTACCCAAGGAGTGTTGAGGACACCTTTTCCAGGGGTAAAAGAGGCACAAGCATCAAGTTGATGACCTCCATCTAATGCTCAGCTATAGAATAAGCATGGGGATTACACATCACCAAACCCCTCTGTTTGTGACACCTTAAAATCTTGAACCAGCTGACCGATTTCCACAAGAATTTGTCAATGTTATGCCACTGGAGACCACAATGCAGTAATAAATTATGTCAACACGTAATAAGTTTCCCTTCTCCACAATATTGGGAGGAATTCGCTTGTTACACGCGTTTATATTCTTTGACTACCAACCCTAACCTAAACGTATTTGGAACAGTATAAAATTATCTATAATTCTATATTTAATTCGCTGCAGGGTTACCTGTCAAATATCCTGTCTGTTATGTAGTCTTTGCCGGATTTTCTTTTGCCGCTGAACAATAATATACACACGGGGAACTTAATAGGTGCCAACCTTTCCTTTATTTTTTCCATCTTTCTGCCAGTGCTCAGAACAACCAAGAATTACCGACGGTGCATACAATTGCAAAAGAATGCGTATTGTAGTAATGAGGCAACAGAAATACCAATCATTTAACAGCAGGCATTGCTATACAACCTCACCGTTCTGTTTATTACTGGACTTCTTAACTGTCACAATCTACATAGCCACCAGCCTTTAACGAGGCGTATACATAGTGCGCTTATTAGTGATAAAGGTAAGTCGTATTACTTGTTCCTCATTCTGTTTCTCACCAGAGATAATGACATTACGACAGTACATTCTGCGACTGTAAACTCCGGTGATAAACCATGTGCTCCTGTCTTGGTTAATGCAAAGTATGTTGTCGGCCTTGGTCTTTCCAAAGTTGTAAGTTTTGTAACGTTGAATGGGAAAGAAAAAATATGACTAGTGAGTTAAGAGAAATGTTGGAGGAGAGTGTAGAGGCCAGACATTTATTTGCGGAACTTGAAGGGGGGAAAAATCATTCATTTTTGTGGTCGTATGGTCTGAATAGAACCGAGAGCTAGCCATCGATTACGAGTTACCTGCACTGTCACCAAGTGTGTTTAGGTTTGTTCTTTGGCTTAACATACGCATGAAAACAGCCTGGAAGTAAGTTTTAGGAATCATTTAGGATATGTTTGTTATGTAGTACTGCATATCAGATGTACACAGTAAACAGAAAATGTTTGCATTGGTCTATGCAGGAGCTGTACTCCATTGGGTACCTCTCCCCTGCCTTGGACATTAGACCTGGACACCGCTGTGGTTTCACCACCATTATTGTATTATTAGTGTAAGAAACATGCAAACAAGTGTTGCTGTTACTAGTGCTTTCTGTATTACAGTACAGTAGTGTTTTCTGTCTGCTACACTATAAATGCATGGACAGTTGTTTTCACCACTCATGAACAAACAAACTTAGGCTTGATAATTATGACATGATAAAAATTAGTGCCACAAGTCACACAACAAACAGAACAATTCTTGCCTCATGGGTAGTCCATGCTGTTACAATAAATATGCTCTCATTACAAGTTATTTGTACAAGAAAGACTTCAGCACCATTTGTAACTATAACATGTTGCTTTATTTATGCAATCAGTACTTACCAATATGACACTTCAAATATCGATCTGACTTATATCTTATAATATGGTCCATAAAGAATTAATGACCATTACCATTAAGATTTATTATTAAAGACCGTGTAATCTCAAGTTAAGTACACTGGTATTGTTCTCTGTCTATAAGATGCAGGATTTCTGTTAAAATGTTTCAGAATTTGATCAAGATGAGACTTCTTAATCCCCAAAAGTTAAATGAACTACAGAGGAACCCAAATAGAGTACGTAATATCTGCATCCTTGCTCATGTTGATCATGGAAAAACTACACTGGCTGATTCCTTGGTGGCCACCAATGGAATTATCTCTCCAAAAATGGCTGGTAAACTAAGGTAATGTAATATCGTGCACAATGATTATCTTATAGTTATAATACTTTTATGTTAGTAGGCTGTAATTTTGTTTTAACCTGTAAGGCACAATTCATTACCAGTGCTTAAAGTGGGACATTATTTTTAAATTATTGTAAAAATCATACATACTGACAGGTATACAGATTGTTCAACTTTCATTTATTTCACATTTCAGGCATTGCTTATTTGGTAGCTATCTTCTGGGTTATTGCACCATGTAGTGTGGTAGAAGTTTACAGATGTTTCAGTGGTTGTTGCTGCCTCCATCATCAGTGCCATGAGTAGTAAGCATCACTCTGATGATGGAGGCAGGAAACATGTCTGATATATCAGTAAACTTCTACCAGTCAGCATGGCACAACAACCCAGAAGACTGCCATCTTTATGCTCTCTGCCATGAGAACCTGACATATGATTGATTATTTGTACAAAAATGCTTGTATTAAAAGAAATATAGTTACTGTTCAGGGATTCCACAGCAACATAACTCATGTTGTCATGGCCACAAAAGTGCCATACCAATAGTGAATTTGGTAGTCACTGTTTTCTGTGCTACAGTGGACTCCATTATAATTGAGCAGTAGTGTATTTGCATAACTTTCAGAGTTGTATAATATAAAAATGATATATATTATTTTAAATTACAGATATATGGATAGTCGTAAGGATGAGCAAGAGCGTGGAATAACTATGAAAAGCAGTTCCATTGCCTTATTACATAATAAAGGTAAGCATAACTTTAAATTCTATATAATTGAAAATACTGAAATATGGATTAAGAACTGAAAATATCCAGGTCATACTCTGGTCTGTTCCTTTCTGCGTCCTGTTCTCTGTCTCTTGATCCATTCTACAGTATCGCGGTATTAACAGGATCACTGCCAGTTTTAGCCTATCCTCTCAAGGGAAAATCATGTAGCTTGTGAGATCAAACAATTTCATGTCATTCAGTAACAGTACAACATTGGAGATTGCCTAACTTGTGAGGTCAAAGGGATGCTAGCACCCTGTTGTGAAAGAATTTGTGGTATTGAATCTTAAAAACATATGCAACTTTTGTTACACAGTGTAAGCTACATGAACTTGGAATTTAGCTTTCAGTTTGATAGTGATTTAGGAGTCCTTCAAATTTTAATGTTTTTATAGGATTGTTCATTAGTAGATGTGTTTTAAAGCCACATTTTAATTGAAGAAGTCCTTGCTCTCATCTATCAGGGCGATTCCTAATTTCCCTGATGATGGAGGCAGCAAGGAGCTCTGACATGTTGGTAAACTTCTACCAGACTACACACTGCTACAATCCAGAAGACAGCTGTCTTCATACTCACCGCCATGAAAACTTCAAATCTTACACATTTTAATTGTACTTTTTTCCTTCTCTTTTGTCACTTGTAAAGTGAAGAGCCTCAGAATAACTTGTTCAGCTTTATTTAATGTATTATATAGCCGTTATGTTTGGTATTTTGTGTACAGGTGGAGAAGAATATCTTGTTAATTTGATAGACTCTCCTGGTCATGTGGATTTTGCATCAGAAGTGTCAACAGCTGTAAGGCTTTGCGATGGAGCTGTTGTGGTGGTGGATGTTGTGGAGGGAGTGTGTCCGCAAACACAGGTGATTTATTTAATAAACGACACTTCCCATTTAATTGTGAGTCTTATAAATCACTTGGCAATGAAAATTAAATTTAAATAAATATAAATTTAGACTCAAAAAGTTGTTAACAATAAATTGCTGATATTGTACCCATTATTGTAACACAGATGTCCCACAACAAGTAAGTTGACAACACATTCAGTTCTCATTATGACTCATACTCATTGTACGAGACTTTTATTGCATTTATTAAAATGTACATGAATGCTTTTTGCAGGCAGCTCTGAAGCAGGCATGGTTAGAGAATATTCGTCCAGTATTAGTATTGAACAAGATGGATCGTTTGATCCTTGAAATGAAATTGTCACCTCTGGATGCGTATGTTCATCTCACACAAATCTTGGAACAGGTAATTTTGTAATAATTTTTCAGAATGACAGGAACACAAACCCTGTGCAAAGGACACCAGCATTTATTAGTTTTAACTTTTTCTGCTCTTGAAAATGTGGCCACTTCCTTCTTTGTGTTTGCACAAAAAAAAAGAGCGAGAGAAAGAGAGAATGTGCTGCAAATAAACATTGATTTTTGTTGTCTTTATTATGGGACTTCTCACCTTGGGTTTGGGGTTAAAGAGGCTATATTACTGGAACACATGGCTTTAAAACTGTTTAAACTGTGATATACGGCCAAGAAAGCTGTACTGTAATAGAAAGTTACTTGAGAAGTCATGTGATGGAGTGATTTATTCTTTATATGAGGCCTTTTTTAAACAAATGGTACAGAAACTGGAAATCTCATATGTTAAATGAATTAAAATTTAATTCAGTGTTGAATCTTGCTTATTCATTGTGAAAACTTTTGTATTGCTTATTTTCATTAGAAGGATTTGCAATTTATTGTATTTCTCTCAGTTTCACTAATCACTCATCAGTGAAATTCTCTATTTTGTGGTTTCAGGTTAATGCTGTTATGGGAGAATTGTTTACCAGCGAGGTGTTGGGTCGAACAGTACCAGAAAAGTCACAGTCGCAAATAGATCCTGATAAAGCAAGTAGCCTGTTATATGACTGGAGTGCAGGGCTTGAAGATGCGGATGATTCTCATCTGTACTTTTCACCAGATCAAGGGAATGTCATTTTTGCCAGTGCCGTGGATGGTTGGGGTTTTGGGTAAGTTGTAGTATGTGTATATGTATATAAGGTGGCAATATGTTCAAAATTTATAATGTCATAATGAGAATTGAGAATGTGTACGGGATGATCGACCTATAAATTGTTCTGCATATTCATAGTGAATAAGCTTTTTAGTGAACTAGGGAATTGAACTTTACCTTATTCTGTATGGGTATAATTTTTCTGTGCTGAGTTGAATATTTTGCAGCCAAAATTAATTTTATTGTGTATTTATTTTACAAATTTGTTTTGGTTTTCAGTATAGAACATTTTGCAAAATTATATGCAGATAAACTAGGTGTTAATGAAAAAGTCCTACAGAAGACTTTGTGGGGAGATTTTTATCTTCATGGTAAAACAAAACGAGTGATGAAGGGTGCCCAGGAAAAAGCCAAGAAACCTTTGTTTGTCCAGTTTGCGTTGGAGAACCTGTGGGCTGTTTATGATACAGTTGTCATTAGGAAGGTCTGTAAAGATTTGTGTATGTGTGAAGTTTAAATAAAAGTTTATATGCATGTGAGACATAACATTCCGTAGTTCTGATTTTAACACTTGAAATCTGAATATGACTTTTCTCTTTTTTTATTTATTTATTTTAAATAGAACACAAAAGGATCAAATTTCTATCAAACTCACCAATATGTCTCATCCCAAATTTTCTATTTTTCATGCAGTGAAGACACTTCTAACCTTGCAACACATTTTAATTTTGAAAATTAATTATTGTAATGGCCAAAAAATGATATTATTCTCTAATCAGATCATCCTTATCAGAAAAGTAAATTGATATTAAGACATGTTTTTGAGACGCATTGTAATGGCCAATAGCTAATGAGTATGTATGGAATTGACGTTACAGTGCAATGTCCTCAGAATAGCTGATGGGACCTCTGGCTTATGTGTTTTACTGACATTTAAAGTTTAGCCATATTGAAAGAAATTATGATTTTTGTTACAGAAAAGCAGTGAGTTTGTTAAAATAGATTGGCTGTTTTATTGTGCTTACAGTAATTATTGAAATCTATTATCTTTTAAAGTATATTTTCATTGGAGGATTATTAATTTATCCTTGATGTAACTTTGGGAATATCAGTGATGATAGTCTCAAAGCACCAAAACTGTAAATTCACCATCAAATTAAGGAATAATATTAGTACAGTATTTTCTGAGTTGTATACCAATAATTGTATGTTTTTGAAGGAGAAGGATAAACTACAAAAGATAGCTGACAGCCTAAACATCAAGTTGACTGTCAGAGACATGCGTCACACAGATGGAAAGGTGCAATTACAGGCCCTCTGTGGACAGTGGTTGCCACTTGCCAAAACATTATTAGGTGAGTTTTGTGATGTGTTGTTATCTGAAGTAATTACAGGAGGTCTATTGAAATAATAAAGTGTCCAGTTGTCATTCCTCAATATACCAATGTTTTCTTTTAGTATTCAGTTTCAAACTAACCATCTGAATGTTATGCGATTCATATACTAAAGTAGGGAAGACATATAGTAAAATGAAGATTTCCGTCTTCTGGGTTGTTACGCTGTGTAGTCTGGTCGATGTTAACCAGCGATCGCTCTGATGACGGAGGCAGTATGACCTCTGAAACGTTGGTTAACATCGACCAGACTACACAGCGCAACAACCCAGAAGACGGAAATCTTCATTTTACTATATGTCTTCCCTACTTTAGTATATGAATCGCATAACAATTAGGGTAAGATCGGCTTCAGATTTTACACATACCACAGGTCTGCTGAGATGAATGTTTGCTCTTCTCTTGTTTTCTTTCAATTTCATTTTTGTGCTCGAGAAAATGTCTGTTAATCTTTATGTAATAAAGGTTATCTTCACAGATATGGTGTGCACAAAATTACCTGCTCCATGTGAAATAACAGAAGAAAAGGCAGAGAAGCTGATGTGCTCTGCAACTGAGAGGTTTGACAGTTTACCAAGTGATACTCAGAAACTGAAATCAGTATTCATGGCATGTTCGAGTGATGAAGATGCACCTGTGATTGTATTCATCTCCAAAATGTTTCCAGTACGTTTAACTGAACTTAAATATATTTCAAAAATAAATTGTGTATTAACTGTCCCAGTGTCCTGTTTCATGAGATGTTTATTGCAAGAGAAGGGGATAATTTTCTTCGATGTGACACTATATAGCCATGTGTGCATGTTGTTAGAAAAAGCGTAACACAGAGTATATAAAAATGGAATGGGTGGGGCATGTAACACACATGAAGGAGATGAAAAATGCATACAAAATTTGGTTGGAAGGCCTGAAGGGAAGGGATTGTTTGGAACACGTAGGTGTAAAGGGGAAGTTAATATTAAAATGGACCTCAGTAATGTTTTTAATATGTAAAATTGTGTGACTAAAATATTTGTTATTAAAGATCGGTTAATTCGAACAATGGTTACAGATGGAACGCAGATGTCTTCCCCAGTATCGTTCACATCCATTGACAGCTGCTGAGATAGCTGAACGCAGGGAGAAGACTCGTCTGCAACATGCACAAAGACTTGCTCAGAGTGAAACTCCATTTTCTGTAGAAGGTACTTAGATTCTTATTTCATGGACTATCCCCACCATAATAGAAATTGTTTTAGCCAGTTTATCATGGAATAACCAGTTCCATTTCATTTATTTTTAGGGTACTTTATCTTATTCTCTGAATTATTATTATTTGAATATGATATGTTCAGGTTGTGGAGATTATGTGAACCCAGGAACTCATCTTCTTTCATCTGGAGATCAGATGAAGATAGAAGAACAGAAGGAACAGGAACAGAATGATGCCGATGCGTTTATTGCATTTGCACGAGTCTTCAGTGGCACAATTAAGAAAGGGCAGGAACTCTACGTGTTAGGGCCTAAACATGAACCACAGTCTGCGCTAGAAAAGGTATATCTCAAATACAGTATTATACTTATTCCATTTCTACCATCTTAAGAGTAGAGACTTGTATTTTAACCCTTCAGACAATTATTCATATCCCTTTGTCTTACATTACAGCCGTATTGAAATTGCTATATAAGGGGAAGTTCACATAGTCGTATTTCAGTGAATTAAAGAAAATGCGTAACAGAATTTGATGATAATTTCAGATCTTAAGAAGATTCAAGGCTTTACAACAGCGAAAGTAGTTTTCAGATACTTAATATCATTTTATACCATAAGTAGATTTTGGTGCGATAGGTTTTAAAGTAAGACGTGCGTTGTGCTTGGATACACTCGGGAAATTTTTGAACAACTTCATATACGCCTTTGTGTGTGCTCCTATTCTTTAAAGAATATATGGCTATAATTTTTATCCTTTTTATGAATTGTTTCCATGTGAAAATAATACTCCTGTGTACAGTTGGGTTTTTGAATTTCCTTTTTTTGTCTTTGCAGCTGTTACCATATTGTCAGGAAATGTAGTATGACGACTACTAGAGGCTTCTTGTCCTTACACTTTGCTGTCATGAGTCCTTGATTTTTCATTCCAAAATTCATGTTACTTCATAATTGCCATTGAAGCATTCTGTGTGATGGTGTATGATTCTTCAAAACTGGATTAGGCATTCATTTTATGGTTTTGTGTTTTGATTTGTTTGCAGTTAGAAAGTGGGGAGGTGATTAATCCTGATTTAACTCTTAAGGATCTGAAATCAGGACAGCACATTACTAGAGTTAAAATTGATCAACTGTACCTGTTGATGGGAAGGGAATTGGAGACTTTGGATTCTGTGCCTGCTGGAAATGTGTTTGGTGAGTTTCAGACTCTCCGTACGGCATTGGGTCAGATGGTCAACACATTTAAAGCGTATGGTCAAGCTACACTACTGTGTTACCTAAATAGCCAATAACCATTCTGAATTAAATCAACAGAAAAAATAGTGGGACCCTGTTCAACTAATTTTATTTTTTAAGAAATGAAGAGCAGCAACAGATTTGAATGATTTGTTGAGCAGAGTGATGGACATTGCAGTCAAACTTTTTAAATTTTTGTTGAAAGAAGGATTTGGTAGTCACATGATTTTTTTTTCCCCCCTTGATAGCGATTGCTAATAAACAACAGATGCCGACACATGCTGAAGTGGCGATGATAATTTAATTCATCGGTCTCATGTGTTTACACATCCCTTAGTTCATAAAGTTTGATGATTACATGGCAATGTGAATTATTTGTATCACTTAATTCTCTTACAGGTATTGGAGGCCTAGAAGAGCACGTATTAAAATCTGCAACTTTATCTTCTACTGTAGCATGCCCAGCTTTTACAGAATTAGCTCAAGTTGTAGTACCGATCGTACGTGTAGCTGTGGAGCCAACACACGCTCAGGACATGGCTGCCCTAGTACGTGGACTGCGACTGTTAAATCAGGCTGACGCCTGTGTGCAAGTCATCGTACAGGAGACAGGTGAACACGTTCTGGTCACTGCAGGGGAGGTACATCTTCAACGCTGTCTGGACGATCTCAGAGAGAGGTAAACATTCATGTTTCAGCTTCTGTTGTAAAGTGTATGAACTAATAATGTGAACGGTAGTGTATATTTTGTATTTGGCACGTTTCTGAGCAGTTTTATCGCGAATGCCTGTGTTAACGATTGTGAAACCTGCATGTATTTATAAAAACCAATCATGCAGATGAACTGAGACTATACAGATTGGATATTGTGAAAAGATAATGCAATTCCTGAATGTAGGCATTTTTCTGCTTTTATAATAATTGTTTAGGTTTATCTAGCTGATGTTTGCATTAACATTTCTACTACTGATACTTTATTTTAGGTATGCAAAAGTGGCAATAAATGCTTCTGAGCCCATCGTTCCTTTTCGTGAAACTGTAGTTGTTCCGCCAACTGTGGACATGGTCAATGAGGCAATTCAAGATCAGAATACAGCGAGTAAGGTAGGAATATTCATTTTGAAATGAAGTGAACTCTTGATATATGTGTAAGATGTGAGGTTTTCAGCGCAGTATGAGTATTTATGATATTCTGGATTGTCACTCCGTGTAGTATTCTAGCTGTGTGCAACATAATAATTTTGCTATTATGGCTGAAGTGAGGAATGTTGAAAAGTAGATGGTTTATATACAGATATATGAGGATCATTCCACAGACCAATCAGAGCCATTCTGATTCATGTAATGATTATCCATTTCCTGTGGCCTGATCCTCTTCAATCGCCACATAAAACGTCTACTTTTCACCACTCCTTATTTTAACCCTCATGATGGAGGGAGTCTTATCACATTTGCAGGGCTGGATTCAGTGCATATCACTTGAACGCTATCCTTGTTTTAAACTTCTGAAAGTATTGGTGGGAAAGAATTTGTGGGCAGGACAGATTATTTTAAGATTTCTTCCCTCCTTGCCACCATATTTTTCATACATCTGTCACACATCACCAAGCCCAATAAAATTAAGTAACCAAAATAATAGCCATATTCACGGCTGACTGACGGCAGATATGTACTATAGAATTCTGTTCTTACCAAGGGGAGAACAGAGAATGCATTGACTAAGGTCGTTGACATCATATACCGTTAGAAAGGTTGGAATGTGTCCTACACAGCCGTCGAAACCTTAAATATATTACTCCATTTGTCTTCCCTAGAGAGAGCCACAAAGCAGAGGCTGAATGCAGTTGAGTTCAAAAATCGATCTATGTTTCAAAGTCGAAAAACACTGGTAAAATCGATCTGTCAGAGTCATGTTATATATCAATCGATAGCCAGATTTTTTCTCTACACGGCTACTGGAGCCAGAATACATAAAGTACAAGGTCAGTCGCTACGTAGAAGGAGAAATCTTAGCGCGCATTGTGCGAGCAGTGCTCGGCACTCCACGCCATGGGACGACTACGTCATGACGAGCGATGTTCGGCACTCCACGCTGAAGGGTTAATAGCTATGCCATTTCATAATGAGAACCTTGATAAGCCATTTTACCAAAGATATGGGACATCGTACTTGAGAGAAAATGTACCAAATGTAGTGAAGGATTGTTGTATATCCTGGTTTATTTAACAACAGTCACTTAGATTTGTGATGGTTAGTGAATAAATTGGAAAGGAAGTCATTATGGCCTAATTTAAGGTATGAGTACTATTTTGGCATTTGTCTGGAGGGACTGAGGAATACCATTAAAAGAACTGGGATAATTGGTCTCTGGGCTGAAATTGTATAATTTTATTCTTTGTCTGTTACAGGATGGAGACAAAGAAAATGCTGGCGAAGTAATAACTTTGAGTACGTCTAACAAACATTCGACAATAAAGATCCGTGCAGCGCCTCTCCCGACAGAAGTAACAAGTCTTCTTGAGGTTCACGCAGATCTTCTTAAGGCAGTCGATAAACATATTCATTCCGAAGCCGGCCAGCAGAATAGCGAGATGTTTGAAGACTCTTTGTCAGAAAGTCAAATGGTGCTCACGGAAAGAACGCTGAAAGCGATCGAGACGTTGAAAGAGAAACTCAAGGATGCATTTTCTAGTGCTGGTGATGAGTGGAAATGTGCAGAAAGTCAAATTTGGAGTGTAGGTCCACGGCGATGTGGTCCTAACATATTATTAAACAGAATACCCGCATACGATCACCCATCTGTATGGCAGAGGTTACGTGGTTCAGATCGTCGTTTAGAGTATGATAGCAGTTTTGTTAACGGCTTCCAGTTGGCTACACTGGCAGGACCTCTGTGTGAGGAACCAATGATGGGCGTTTGCTTTATTGTTGAAGACTGGACACTTGCTGAGGAGACTCAACTGGATCACCCATCTTCACGGTATGCCATGCTATTATAATTATATTTTATAACATAAATACAGCCTACATATACAGCATATGCACATTATAATTACAGAGCGTTAACCTTCTTGTTGATATCCGTGTGTTGTGTTTGCAGTGGTCATTTTGGTCACCTATACTTGATTCGCTAATTTACGAAGTGCTGATTCTGACACGTGTTAGGGCTTAATTTATTAAAATGTCTTTATTTTATTAATTGAATACGAGGTGCGATCGAAAGGTTTCCAGACTGCGCGTATAAAAACCCGTACACTTATCTCAGGTATTAAATTCATCCATCACCCTCGAAGTAGTTCCCCTGGGAGTGAACACAACGATCCCAGCGCCGCTGCCAAGCCTGGAAGCATCCCTGGAAATCTTTCTTTGTCAGCCTGTCAAGCACCATCTGCGATTCTGCCTGAATCTCTTCTATCGTCTCAAATCTCATTCCCTTTAGCTGAATTTTCATCTTGGGGAAGAGGAAGAAGTCACACGGAGCTAAATCCGACGAATAAGGAGGGTGCGGGATGACGGCCATGGTGTTTGAGGCCAAAAACTG